ATGTAAAATCCTCGGCCCCACCACATATCTGCTGAATCAGAATTTGCATTTATAACTCTCCCCCTCCCCCAGATAATACACAAGTACATAGGGACTTGAGAAGCATAGCTGTAAAATAAATATCTAATGACATCTCTGCCTTTTAAAAGCCCTTAAAGGCTTTCTACTGCCCTTAGGAAAATCTACCCTCCTTAATTGAGTCCATAATGTCTTTTAAGATCCAGTCCCTGTGGACTTAGGTAGATTTGTCTCTTTCCTTGGTGCTGGTGACCTCTGAGCAGCGGTCACCACCCTGCTCTCAGTTCTCCGACAGGTTGAGCTCTGTGTCTTTACTCCAGGATTTGCATTGCTTTCCCCTCTGCCTGGAATTTTCTTTCTCAGAAACATTTCTTTCCCCAGGGAAGCCTTTGTGACCTCCCATATCTGATTTTGGTTTCCCCTCTATGTGTTCCTATGGCACTCTGGATTTCCCTTATCTTGCTAATTAATTCTTTATAAAATAATATTCAAATAATATTAAACTTTATCAAATAATATTCATACAGTACCTGTTTGCTCTGTGCTAGGATGAAGCTTCTGAAAATACTCTTGATTTTAGATGCTGTTGTCATATCCATTTCTCCCCTACCCATCCCGAAGATTTGAAGCTTAATGTGGCTGGAAACCATGTGAATTTATTCACTTGTGTTCCTGAGAGTTAGCATAACACCCGGAGCAAAGTGACACTCAATAAAAACCTGTAAAATAGATGTGGAGTCCCAAGTATACTGATGATGAGTGTGGGATATTAAAGACCTATTTGGTGAATTAAGTGGGGAGGTAGCAAACTTTACCTTTTGATCTAAGTGTGCTCACACAGGTCTATTCTCAGTCTTCTGGAGACTGGATGATGGAGGCAATGGAAATGATTATTTCATTTTAAAGATGCAGAAACTGAGGTTCAGAGAGGTTAATGAATCTGCCAAAGGTTATACCAGTTGTGAGTGTTGGAACTGGGATTCCAACCCAAGAGTGGCTGACTCCAAACTGAGAACCATTTTCAGAGTCAGGACCAGAGTGAAGATTAGGTTGATCACTACTGTCCTGAAAGAATGAATGAGTGAACAAGTGCATACAGGCATCTGTCCATCATTCTGATAGTTATTTTAGTATATCAGCATTTCACACTCAAAAGGCCAACCATCTCTAACACAGAGCAGTCCTTCCTGGTCTTTTCCATGGACAGCAGACTTCCCCAAAGAAATTTTCCTTTGGCCTCTACTGTGTATGATCTGAAGCCTCTTTGCCTCTCCATAGAATGCCAGGTGTAGAAGAGATCTCATTAGAAGCCAGCTGGTTCCATCTATCTTTTCATCAAGGCCCAGAGACACAGACTGACTTATCCAAGGTAACTCAGCAAGCAAGTGGCAGAGCTGGGGTCCTGGGCCTTTGAGTAGTCAGCTCAGAGCTCTCTCCACTGGACTTTGCTACCTCGTATGCAGTAGGTATTCAAGAAATGCCTGCTGAGGGTCTTGTGATTGTTGCTCACTGCTGGGAGCCCTGGCAGGATATGGAATGACTCAGGCCTCCGTCAGCGGCAAGGCCCCTGTGATTTTTAGTAAGCAAAGAGAAGCTCATGTCTCGAGCTAGGATTATCTGTTCAAATTACTGCAATTAGTGTCAAAGATAATAACTTGATTGTTATTATTAAATGTAAATGGGGATAGTCCTGAGATGGCCCAATGCAGCTGTCTGTTAATTTTGAACAATGACATCCACTGGCTGAGGCCTTGCCCCAGGACTCTATGAAAGGGAGAGTGTGTGAGTTGTATGTGCATGTGTGTGTTTGAATGTAACACTCAGACAGTCAGGACAATATGTTTCAGAATTTCCTACCTGCTGTTGTCTTTGAGATGCATGAGGCATCAGCAGCTGTGTCCCCAGGCTGGGAGGGGTCTCCGTAATGATGGTGAGGAGGAGTAAGGTCAGCACAGGCCCTGGAGTCAGACTGATTAGGCTATATTCCCACCCTGAACTTTGGCAAGGTTTTAAACTTTATATATTTGTAAAGTGGGTTTGATACTACCCACCCATCTCACAGAATTATGTAAAGCAACATATGGGAAGTGCTGTCCACAGTGCCTGACACATTGCCTGTTAGTGAACCGTAGACTAGTGACAGGTAAGGTCAGCTGGAAGGGGTTTGTGGGCAGGCTTCTCCCTGTGGGCCAGTTTTGGATGCAGTTACTACTGGGCTCCAGCCATGTTCCAAGGGGTAAGGCGGCTGAAGGGTGGCATGGTGCCCCCGGGGTGGGCTCTGTTCAGATAGCTAGATGGTCAGCACCTGAAGGCCTCTTGGCCTGTGCAGAACTAGAAGCCTTCTTATCTCTGTGGAGGGCTGTCATAGGACCCAGTTCTGGGGACAGGGATTCTGGGCAGGTGGACCAGGACAGAGGCTTAGGGCTCTTTTGGCAAAGAGTAAGACAGAGGTGAAAGTGAAAGTTAACCTTCCTAGGTGGCACTAGTGATAAAGAATCTGCCTGCCAATGCAGGGGATGCAGGACATCTGGGTTTGATCCTTGGGTCAGGAAGACCCTGAAGCAGGAAATGGCAACCCATTATAGTATTCTTGCCTGGAAAATCCCATGGACAGAGGAGCTCGGTGGGTTACAGTCCACGGGGCCACAGAGAGTTGGACACAACTGAGCAATGCACATAAGGCAGAGGTGAAGCTTCCAGAATGGGGTTCAGCTGTGAGCAGGGCTGGGGCTAAGGTCAGAACCAGGGTGCTGGATTGTAAGTCCGGGCAGGATGGAGCCACAAAATTCCTCCAGTGTACACACTGGGCTTCTTAAGGGAGGTTCAGTGTGGTGGTTAGAGAGCAGGTGCTGGGGCCAGACTGTCTGGATTTGAATCCTGCTTCTGCCATCTGCTAACTGTGTGATTTTGACCACTTCTCTGTGCTTCACTTCCTTCATGAAATGGGAATGATAATTTTATTGCTTACCATGTCATCCCTTTGGAGGATTAGGTGAATTCATTTGTGTAAAGCACCCAGGTCCGTTTGACCTGTGGTGGCACTCAGTGGAGATTAAAGGGTCGTCTCCTTGCCAGCAGGCTTCCCAGGTTAACAGAAGCAGTAAATAACCCACCTGCCAGTGCAGGAGGCATACGAGATGCAGGTTCAGTCAGCAGGTTGGGACGATGCCCTGGAGAAGGAAATGGCAACCCACTCCAGTATTCTTGCCTGGAGAATTCCACGGACAGAGGAGCCTGGCGGGCTACAGTCCATGGGGTCGCAAGAGTCAGACATGACTGTGTGACTTAACAGGCATGCATACACTGTTCCAGGCTCCAGGGATATGCCAGGAGGCCAAATAAGGTTTCTCTTCTCAAGGAGCTGATATAGTGAATGTATGGGGCAGGGGGCAGACAAATGACGAACAAGTACATAAATACATAGACACTCTTAAGGGATAATAAGTAAGGCAGGCTGAGCAGGGCAGAAAGACTGAAGGGTAGGGACTATTTTAGAGAAAGTGGTCAGGGAAAGCCTCTCTGACTAGGAGACTTGAAAAGAGGCATCAGTGATTGAGAGTCATGTGGATATTAGAGGAGAGTACTTTCCAAACTGAAGAAAGAATAACTGGCGAGGCTGGATGTATAAGCATGTTTGGATGTTCAGAATAACGTCAGGAGGCTAGGTGGCTGGAGTAAAGGAGGCCAGTAGGATGGTGGGATGTGAGGTTGGAGAAGTAGTTGGGGCAAGTGCACACAGACCTAGGCTGAGCCACGGTGAGGATACTTGGTCTAAGATGGAAGCCCGCGGAGGGCAGGCAGTTGAGCTGTCAGTTTCACCAGGGTGCACTGATAAACGATCTCTGGCTGGAGAATAGGCTGGTGGGGTGGGGTTGGTATTGTTCAGTTGCTCAGGTGAGTCTGACTCTTTGTGACACCACAGACTGCTTCATGCTAGACTTCCTTATCCTCCACTATCTCCTGGAGTTTGCTTAAGCTCATGTCCATTGAGTCAGTGATGCCATCCGACCATCTCATCCACTGTTGCCCACTTCTCCTCCTGCCCTCAATCTTTCCCAGCATCAGGGTCTTTTCCAATGAGTCAGTTCTTTGCATCAGGTGGCCAAAATATTGGAGCTTCAGCTTCAGCATCAGTTCTTCCAATGAATATTCGGGGTTGATTTCCTTTAGGATTGACTGGCTTGATCTCCTTGCAGTCCCAGGGGTGGGTGGTAGGGAGCTCTTTGAAGCTATTGCAGTAATACAGGCCAGAGAGAGTAGTGTCTTAAACTAGAGAAGAGTTGGTGGCGTGCTAAGGAGTAGTCGCATGCTGCGTGTACTTTGAAGACAGAATGGATGTGGATTAGGAAAGAGTAGAGTCGAGGATGACTCTGACACCTTTGGTGTGAGCGACTGGACAAATGGAATTGCTGCATCCTATCCACCAGATGTGATGCAGACAGGGAAGGAGAAGGTTAGAGGGGAAAACAGTCCTGCTCTGGACATGTTACACTTGAGAAGACTAGGAGACACCCAACAGAGGTGGCCAGGAAGCTGTTCGGGGGGAGACTGGAACTGGAGGTGTGAAACGGGGCCTGGGTGGCGTGTATGTGGACAAGTGCCCTGGGGAGTGAGAATAAATAGAGAAGCACGGAACCCTGGAGCCCCCCAAAGTTGAAGATCAGAAGGGATAGGGACAGCCCTCAAAGGAGGCTCGGAAGGAATGGCCAGTGAGGTGGGAGAAAAACCAGGAGCCGTGGTGTCTGGAAGTCAGTGAGGCGCATGCGATCAAACCTATCACAGGCTGTGGGAGCCCAATAAGGTGGCACTTGAGGTTAACCATTGGCTTGGGAACATAGAGCTGTTGTCGAGCTTGACAGGAGCCGCACCAGTGGCGTGGTGCGGGTGAAAGCCCAATTAGGGCAGGCTCAAGAGAGGCTGGGAGCAGAGGAGAGGAGGCAGTAATTACAGACACGCCCTTTGAGGGGGTTTATTATATACAGAAGGGACAGAGAATGGGAACAGAATCTGGAAGAGCATGCAGTCAAGCGAGAGAGCATTTTCTTTTATGATGGAAGACATAACAGATTTGTGTTCTGATGAGAATGATCCAGTAAAGAGAAGGACACTGATGGCGCAGGAGAGAGAGGGCCATGGCAGGAGCCTTGATCTTGAGCAGACAACAGCGGATGGACCTGTGTGCCCTGAAGAAGGCCTGGCCCCTCACCACTGCTCACAGCCCCAGTGGAGCCTTAGTTGCTGGCTGGGCACTTCCTGGGGGCAGCGGTGGCAGGACCAGCGCTAAATTCCTTTTATAGCCTCAGATTTCTGGTCTTAAATGTACACTGAATTTGATGAACTTATTACCGGAAACCAGACAGGGCACTCGCTAATAACAGCTGCAGGAATTTCTTGGCTTCCAAATTATGCAACTGTCCGTCAACAGCTCAATTAAAGCTCTCAGGCAGCAGCAGTTTGTCAGCTGTGTTTGCACTGAACAGGGTCAGAGAGAAACCCTCAGGAAAATCAATGAGATACAAGTCCACCATCGGGCTTATTTTTAGATATTCTCAGCAACTCTTGTGTGGGTGGAGTCTCGGGCTGTTTTATGTCAGCGTCGCTGGGAACTGGCAATCCACGAGGCTGGCCATTCAAATAGCAGACAACTTCCTGCAGCTCACAAGTGTCTTATTTATTTTTATCCCAAGGCATAACTTCTTTTGTTTCAGGAGTCCTGAGTGGTAGGCTGTCTATTTGCCAGCCCTAATTATGGCTGATAACCTTGCCGACTGGCTGGGCTGGCTTGAGGAACTGTCTTCAAACAGGGGTTTAGGGACTTTGCTGTGGCTGAGAGGGGTTCCCAGGTGGCGCTAGTGGTAAAGAACCCACCTCCAATGCAGGAGATGTAAGAGAGGGTTCAATCCCTGGGTTGGGAAGATCCCCTGGAGGAGGGCATGGCAACCCACTCCAGTATCCTTGCCTGGGGAATCTCATGGACAGAGGAGCCTGGCGGGCTACAGTCTACAGAATTTGACAAAGAGTTGGACATGACTGAGGTGACTTTAGCGTGCATACTGTGGCTGAGAGCAACTCTCTCGTCTCTGAGGTTTTTCTTGTTTTTCTTCATTACTGAAAGCCTAGCTGCCCTCTTTGTTCCTTTGGCCTCTAGCCCAAATGATTGTCTTGGTTGGTGCCCCTGATCTTTCCGTCTTTGGCTCAAGGGGTCTCCACCTGGGCTGTCCTGAGCTGTGTCCTCCTGTCTGGACTTGGCCTCTCTGTCCTACCTGCCTGCAGGTCTTGCCCTGGATGGCTGCTGAGTTCCCGGCTGCAGCCCCAAGGTCTGACAGGCAGAGGAATGTGCTCCGGTCCCTACCTGAGTGCAAAGGAGACCCCCTGAGGCTGGCTGCTTGGACCAGCCTCATAACTGTGCTGATAGTCTGTGCTAGCGCAGGCCTGTGATTGACAGTGGGGACTCGGAGATGATCAGGGCTGACAGTACAGTGGGGAGACCAGCCACAGTGGGGAGTCACCATCCCCTTCTTGTGGAACTGCAAGTCCTCCAGGGCTGGAGCTGGACCTGATGGGGTAGGCAAACCAGAGCGGGAACTTCACACTGTGGGTCATGGGGAGCCACCGACATTTTAAGAAGGCCAGTGACATGTCATATTTGTATTTGAGATTCGCATGTCTCCCTGGCTTCTGCTGCAAGGAGCATGGATTGGAGGGGACAGGAAAACTGGTGAGGAGGCTTGATCATCTCTGCACTTGCCTGAGCAGGGAGGTGGCAGAGGGGATGAGGGGGCAGATGTCAAAGAGAATAAATGTGTTCAGTTGGCAGGACTCCCAGCTCAGCTTTAGAACACAATGCTGCTGAAGTAACTTGCACAAACTTGATTTCTCTCAGTCCTCGTGCAAACCCCTTACTCTCCCAAATGTAGGTGTTTATCAGTGGTGTGACTTTAAATACTGCTTTCCCTCCCAGAAATATTCTTTCTTTGTAGAGACCAGAGGAGGGGATTCTCTTTCTTTGTGGACTCCTTTGCATCAGAAATTATAGTTGCAGCCTGTGGGCCACGGAGACAAAGCTGAAGAGGAAACTCATGTTCTGTTTTCAGCTTTTCTTCCTCTATTGTTTGGTTTGCTTGATGAGAGGTAGCAGAGTATATTGCTGGGAAACACACATTTTGAAACTGGATTGCCTGGATCTGAATCCCAGCTCCTCCAATTACTAGTGACTCTGGAAATGTTACTGACCTCCCCGTGCCTCAATTTCCTCATCTCTAAAATAAGGATAATAATAGTAACCTACATCTTAGTGTTGCCGTGAAAATTAAGTGAAATAATACCTGTCAGGTGCCTGGGTTAAGGCTTGACCCCAGTTCATTTCAGTTCAGTTCAGTCGCTCAGTCGTGTCTGACTCTTTGTGGCCCCATGAACTGCAGCACGCCAGGCCTCCCTGTCCATCACCAGCTCCCCGAGTTTACTCAAACTCATGCCTGTCAAGTCGGTGATGCCATCCAGCCATCTCATCCTCTGTCATCCCCTTCTCCTCCTGCCCTCAATCCCTCCTGGCATCAGGGTCTTTTCCAATGAGTCAACTCTTCGCATGAGGTGGCCAAAGTACTGAAGTTTCAGCTTCAGCATCAGTCCTTCCAAATGAACACCCAGGACTGATCTCCTTTAGGATGAACTGGTTAGATCTCCTTGCAGTCCAAGGCACTCTCAAGAGTCTTCTCCAACACCACAATTCAAAAGCATCAATTCTTCAGTGCTCAGCTTTCTTCACAGTCCAACTCTCACATCCATACATGACCACTGGAAAAACCATAGCCTTGACTAGACAGACCTTTGTTGGCAAAGTAATGTCTTTGCTTTTTAATATGCTCTCTAGGTTGGTCATAACTTTCCTTCCAAGGAGTAAGCGTCTTTTAATTTCATGGCTGCAGTCACCATCTGCAGTGATTTTGGAGCCCCCCAGAAGTAAAGACTGACACTGTTTCCACTGTTTCCCCCTATTTCCCATGAGGCGATGGGACCAGATGCCATGATCTTAGTTTTTTGAATGTAAAGCTTTAAGCAAACTTTTTCACTCTCCTCTTTCACTTTCATCAAGAGGCTTTTTAGTTCCTCTTCACTCTCTGCCATAAGGGTGGTGTCATCTGCATATCTGAGGTTATTGATATTTCTTCCGGCAACCTTGATTCCAGCTTTTGCTTCTTCCAGCCCAGCATTTCTCATGATGTCCTCTGCATATAAGTTAAATAAGCAGGGTGACAATATACAGCCTTGACGTACTCCTTTTCCTATTTGGAACCAGTCTGTTGTTCCATGCCCAGTTCTAACTGTTGCTTCCTGACCTGCATACAGGTTTCTCAAGAGGCAGGTCAGGTGGTCTGGTATTCCCATCTCTTTCAGAATTTTCCACAGTTTATTGTCATCCACACAGTCAAAGGCTTTGGCATAGTCAATAAAGCAGAAATAGATGTTTTTCTGGAACTCTCTTGCTTTTTTGATGATCCAGCGGATATTGGCAATTTGATCTCTGGTTCCTCTGCCTTTTCTAAAACCAGCTTGAACATCTGGAAGTTCTCGGTTCACATATTGCTGAAGCCTGGCTTGGAGAATTTTGAGCATTACTTTACTAGCGTGTGAGATGAGTGCAATTGTGCGGTAGTTTGAGCATTCTTTCGGATTGCTTTTCTTAGGGATTGGAATGAAAACTGACCTTTTCCAGTCCTGTGGCCACTGCTGAGTTTTCCAAATTTGCTGGCATATTGCAGCACTTTCACAGCATCATCTTTCAGGATTTGAAATAGCTCAACTGGAATTCCATCACATCCACTAGCTTTGTTCATAGTGATGCTTTCTAAGGCCCACTGGACTTCACCTTCCATGATGTCTTGCTCTAGGTGAGTGATCACACCATTGTGATTATCTGGGTCATGAAGATCTTTTTTGTACAGTTCTTCTGTGTATTCTTGCCACCTCTACTTAATATCTTCTGCTTCTGTTAGGTCCATACCATTTGTGTCCTTTATCGAACCCATCTTTGCCTGAAATTTTCCCTTGATATCTCTAATTCTTGAAGAGATCGCTAGTCTTTCCCATTCTGTTGTTTTCCTCTATTTCTTTGCATTGATTGCTGAGGAAGGCTTTCTTATCTCTCCTGGCTATTCTCTGGAACTCTGCATTCAAATGGGAATATCTTTCCTTTTCTCCTTTGCTTTTCCCTTCTCTTCTTTTCACAGTTATTTGTAAGCCCTCTTCAGACAACCATTTTGCCTTTTTGCATTTCTTTTCCATGGGGATGGTCTTGATCCCTGTCTCCTGTACAATGTCACGAACTTCTGTCCATAGTTCATCAGGCTCTCTGTCTATCAGATCTAGTCCCTTAAATCTATTTCTAACTTCCACTGTATATTCATAACAGATTTGATTTAGGTCATACCTGAATGGTCTAGTAGTTTTCCCTACTTTCTTCAGTTTAAGTCTGAATTTGGCAATAAGGAGTTCATGATCTGAGCCACAGTCAGCTCCTGGTCTTGTTTTTGCTGACTTTATAGAGCTTCTCCATCTTTGGCTGCAAAGACTATAATCAATCTGATTTTGGTGTTGACCATCTGGTGATGTCCATGTGTAGAGTCTTCTCTTGTGTTGTTGGAAGAGGTTATTTCCTATGACCAGTACGTTCTCTTGGCAAAACTCAATTAGTCTTTGCCCTGCTTCATTCCGTACTCCAAGGCCAAATTTGCCTGTTACTCCAGGTGTTTCTTGACTTCCTACTTTTGCATTCCAGTCCCCTATAATGAAAAGGACATCTTTTTTGGGTGTTAGTTCTAAAAGGTCTTGTAGGTCTTCATAGAACCATTCAACTTCAGCTTCTTCAGTGTTACTGGTTGGGGCATAGGCTTGGATTACTGTGATATTGAGTCGTTTGCCTTGGAAATGAACAGAGATCATTCTGTCATTTTTGAGATTGCATCCAAGTACTGCATTTCAGACTCTTTTGTTGACCATGATGGCTACTCCATTTCTTCTAAGGGATTCCTGCCCACAGTAGTAGATATAATGGTCATCTGAGTTAAATTCACCCATTCCAGTCCATTTTAGTTCACTGATTCCTAGAATGTCGACATTCACTCTTGCCATCTCCTGTTTGACCACTTCCAATTTGCCTTGATTCATGGACCTACCATTCCAGGTTCCTATGCAATATTGCTCTTTACAGCATCAGACCTTGCTTCTATCACCAATCACATCCACAACTGGGTATTGTTTTTGCTTTGGCTCCATCCCTTCATTCTT